CGGTGGGGGCGGCACTGTGTGGGGAACGGAAGACAGCGATTCGTCATTGCGGCGGCAGAGACGACAGCTGCGAGGTCGGCGAGCACACGCTGCTGCCGCCGCGCGCGGGGGCCTTCTTGACGAGCGCGCGTCGCGGGGGGGCTCCCTGACAGGAAAGACATTCTCATTTCGCGGTTACCTGGATTCGAGACTCAAGCCGCACACACATATGTCGCCCGTGTGCACGCCCATACGCCCGCGGCAAACGGGAAGATGGGGGGAGTGGGGGAGAGGGCGCTGTCGCCTGCTGTCATGTGTGCGTTACACCGCTTCTTCTTCATCTTCTCTCTCTCTGTCTCTCTCACACCTTCTTCCTCCTTGGATGCCGTGGATGTTTGCGCACTTTCATCTCTCTTTCTCCCCCCCCCCCCTCTCTCCTTCCCCTGATTTTCGGTACAAACGACACCTTCCCGTCAGCTCCCCCCCCCCTCTCCTCTCTGCCGCCCACCTGTCCGCTAGACGAAGAGCCCGCCGTCCCTCATGTGGCGGTGCACTGCGAATATGAGGCCCACCAATGCGAGGTACTCCCGCCAGGAGGTACCTTTCTTTAGAAATTTCCTTGCAAGAAAATGACAGTAATAGGCAATCAGTAGTTGTACCAGATGGCCAGTTAACCCCGTGCACTGCTGTGATCAGGGATTATACAGAACTACGCCACGTTCGCCGTTTGGCGCTTAGCAACTGCCGAGCAGCTCCAATAGCGCCTGCTAGATAGGCAACATCTTGCCTGCAGTGCATGCGTGTACTGCGGGCTGGCCTACCCGGTGGTTCGCAGGCGCCGAGCCAGCAACATTCCGAATGGGTCAGTGAAGTATGTGTTACACGTGACTAGGCCTATTTACAGGGAGTTACAAGTAACAAAGCCTAATTACAGGTAAGCTTAATTACAAGGCAAAATAGGTGCGGCCTCGGGTGCGGCGAACCATTTTCTAGACCATTCCCTCCTCTCTGGGTACCTCTCCCTTATATATGTTCATATCACAGGTCAGGACTAATTACAGGTGATTAAAGGTAACCGTAATAATATATATGCTTTAGTTAGCTATTTTACAACCAGCTGACACTAAAAACTATTCACAGGAAAATTTTCTATGGACAACGTTTGTAAAAATAAAGTTTCAAATCGTAAATTTTCGACATTATTTTTGTGTGTAACATTGTTTGTAGGTCGAAAATTAAAAACTCTTTTTGTAAATCATAAATTCCAAATGAAAATATATTATTGTGAGTGAACCGCAATATTTTCCACAAGTAGTGCGTCTGATGCACCCCGAGGTGCACACGTCATGTCCGTAACTCCTCGCGCAGTCCCCACGCGTGGGAGCAGCCCGTGTGTAAGGGAGAAGCACTTGGCGCCTCGCGCGAAGAGGAAACACCTGTCAGCGCGGGGAGGGCCCGGGCACGGGGCGCGGGCCGGGCGGCTGGACCAGGCACGGGGCCGCCGGGCCGGTCACAAGACGAATGGCCCACTGCACTCGCTGATTGAATGAGCGCCCCCTCTCCTGCCCCCGCGCTCTCGCACCTCCCGGTCGCCGCGGCTGTACGGGGGAGGGGGCGGTAGCGTTGGCGTATAGTGAATAGTGAACTCCCCGCGCCGCCGCTGCCGCCGCCGCTGCGGGGGCGCTTTCTATATTCGATGGTCCGCGTGTGTGTCTTTTGTTCCGGATCGGACAATGAATGAGAGAGAATATTCACAGATTTCGGACGTATTGGATTGGGCGTGGGGTGCGGACGGCGCCACCGAACTGGTTTGCCTCCCAACTCCCCCCCTCCCCCCCTGTGGGTGCGCCAGCTCTATATTCTTTTCGGCCAGGAGTAAAAGTTTTCATCTCGGAGGGGCGAAAATTACGGGGCATTACAGGTCGTCAGAGAGACAAAGAGTGAGCAGAGAGAAAGAGAGAGAGGGATAGAGTGAGATCGGGGATGGGGCAGAGAAAGGAAGGGAGATGGAGTGCCTACCGGGGGAAAGTGAGAGGGAGCGCCGGGAAATAGGTGGGGATGAAGGAGGAGGGAGCTTGATCCCGATGAAAGGGCTGATGTAGCATTTCCCAGCGGAATCCTCTGGCGGTGGAGCAGATCCCGACCATCCGGAGGCATTAAGACAAATTGAGGCGAAATCGATACGAGCTTTTCTTTCATCCCGGTGCACCTTCGTGAGCTGGCGCGGGCCTCTCTGGCGGCCCGCTCTCAAACCGAGTGCCCCGCGTCCAGGGCCTACTCTACAGGCGTTACCAAGGGGATTTCAGTCCCCTCTCCTCCTCCTCCTCCTCCTCCCCTTTTATACCCCCCCCCCTCTCTCTCTCTCTCTCTCTCCTGCCAACGCCGCCTCCCAGGCCAGAGGGTGTATGTATGTGTGTACAGTGAGGCTTCATGATCCATTTATCTTGATTCCAGTCCAGGAGTGCTTCGGCAGCGCGGGCTACGTGGGTGGCGCGGCGCTACCGCTCCCTCTCTCGCCCCCACCACTCCCCGCGTGCCGCTCCAAAAGCAGCGTCGCGAGGGTGGAGGAGGGCCGTGGCCGTGAGGGAGATTGCGAAAGTAGGTGACGTGGTCGGGGATCTCTGTGCAGTGGCCCCAGCTCTATCCGGCGGCGGCGCGAACGTTCCGCAAACCAAAGGCCATGGTCCACTTTGGAAAAACTTTAAACAAATTTGCTGTAAACTACATTAAATGAAGGCTGGTATTTGTTTTTCTTGTGGTTTTCTCGCCCTACAGTTGTCATGTAAGAGGTGCGACTTCGAGTGAAACAAAAGAATCGGAGGAAGAAAGAAGGGGAGGAGGGAGGTGGGCGGCGGCCTTAAGACTCACCGAAGGCCAACACAACTGCTGCTGCGCCCTTCTCTCTGGACGCGGCGAGGCCTGGCGTGGCGCGGCGTGGCACATTCCAAACAGCTGTCACCCCGCCGCGGCACAGCGCCGGCGAGGAATGTCAAGAGTTAAATGATGGCTTATGGAATGTCGATATCCGACGCGTGACGACCAATAACGGTGACGTGGAGGAGCGAAAGAAGCGGACGGGAGATACACAACAAGAGGAGAAGGAGCGCGGAGGACCCTCACATGTTCAACAGCACCGAGCTTGTCGAACAAGCCAAGGGGCGGCGTGTGTGGGAGAGCGAGCGCAAGAGAAAGAGAGAGAGAGCAAGAGCGACAGAGAGCGAGAAAGAGAGAGACAGACCTAGGGTCTCTGCCTCCTTGACGTGTAGCGTGTAGGC